CCTTTTTTTTAAAAAATTGTCTATTGGAACTGTCTGCAGGCATTGAATTTGATTCCTTTATTTGCTCATATAAAAATTCCTTCAGATATTGAATTAGATATTCCTTCAGATGAGGTAATAATAATAATGTTTTTAATTATACGCGTATATATTTTTTAAATTTTAAATTTAATGTTTATATGTTTTAATAGGAACTTGATTTTGAAGAGTCATTAACTATTCTATCAGAGACAAAAGAACATGATTTAACAGTTCGATTTAAACGGGAATCAGATGCATTCTATCTTGAAGCTAAACGATCAGTCGTAGCGATAACTTCCAAAGTACCTTACTGGATATTATTTATTATTGGTAAGTATAAAATATAAATCCTTTTGAGTTAAAAAAATAATTTATAATTATGACGATAATAATTATTTTCCCGTTACTTTGCTAGTTATACTTGGTTGGAATGAATTCATGGTTATCATAACATCACCATCTTATTTGATATTAACTGGATTTTTTGGAATAATTTTTTATGTTGTTTGGTTATTAAATCTTATTGGAACCGTAGAAACATTCATGCGTATGATTATAAATGAATTTGTTAAGGTAGGAAAAGATAAAATCAAAAACAGTTTAGAAGAAAGTGGCCATCCAATAGTAGCCGAAAAATTAGGCTATATGCTTGGTGATACTAGTGTTGTAACAAAAAAAGAACAATAACTATGAAATAATTGATTATCATAAATCATTTTTTATTATTGACAATCTTCTAAATAACTTTCCAACTTTTTTTGGATCTGTATAAAATTTTTTTATAAAACAAAAAAATCATTTTATTTATTTATTTTTTTTCTTTGGAAATTTCTATAATATTATTATATATATATATTATATATATTATTATTATTAAAATATGTATTAAATTTTTTTTATTTATTTGTTATTTTTTTTTTGATTTTTTTTGTTTAGAACTTTTGTTTTTTTTTTTTTTTGTTTGAAAATATTTATATTAATAAAAAATATAATATATAAATATTGATTTTTATTATTATTAATTAATATTTTTTTTAATATTGTAAATGCAATAAGAGGAAATTAATATGATTAGTTATAATGATGAATTGTAATAATATGACGATGATGAGAAGAATAGAAGGAAGAAACGTTAATTAATATTAATATATTAATATTGGTTTTTTTTAATAAATTAACTCTCACTGATATTCTTGAATCTTGCTTTTTCTTTATTAACGCGTGAAACAACAAAATCCTTTTTTCTAAAAACGTCTTATTTATAAGATCTAAATCAATTTTGTAGTTAAAATATCCTTTGTCGTTTTGGGTATTTAAAATAGATTTTAAAAATATTGTCGATTTTCACGTTTCATCTATATTGTTTAAATTGATG